TGCTCAAGTTCACGGGTACGATAGACCAGGGGAAATTTGATTGCATGGCTATTCGAGAGACTGTCGAGAGAAGCGCGCAAGACAACCGGTTAAAGGACGTGAAAGACGCGATTGATGGGAAGGAAGTCGTGGCGAACGTGAGTTGCTCGGGAGAGGAGGTTACGGGGACTTGTCCCAATGAAGAGTGCTTGTATCAGTTGGGGCCGTGTTTCAAGTAGCTTACATATATTGAGGTATTACATATCGACTAGCAATGTTTCAACTATTTGCGTCGCACCGTGAGTCGTGAGGTGTGTGGTGTCGGTGGGAGCATTTGGTGAGGAGGCGTCGCTGGCGTTGCATGACCATGACGCAGCACCTCCGCCGGACTCCCGAGATATAATTTCCGTGGGGCACTGGCGCCCACCACGGCATGCAATACGCGCCTGTCATACGTCCCACAGCCTTATCCATCACAGTCACACGTTCTTCTCGTCTTTTTTATTACAATCGCGCATTCACATCCTTCAAAATAGGACGCAAACATAAAGCGCACCGCCAACAGGCGCAACAGAACAAGCCGTGGCGCAACACTGAAAAAGGTCGAAAGGGCAAAGGCAAAAGAGGCAGGATGGGACAGGACGAGTCACGGGTTGTAGACCCAAATGCGCCACCTCAGACCTTATCGGCGCGTACTCTGGAGGCTCTCGCGCAATACATCAAGGATGGGCGGGCGAAGAAGATTGTCGTCATGGTGAGTTCCAGCGCGTTGGCATGATTAGACGCGCGCTGACATTGGGAAGACAGGCGCGGGCATAAGCACTTCCGCCGGCATACCAGACTTCAGATCACCAGAAACCGGTCTATACGCCAACCTCGCTCGCCTGAACCTGCCATACCCCGAAGCCGTCTTCGACATCGATTTCTTCCGCAAGACGCCCGAGCCGTTCTACTCTCTCGCCCAAGAACTGTACCCCGGGAAGTTCAGGCCGACGATAACACATTCTTTCATAAGCTTGCTCTACCAGAAAGGGCTGCTACTGAAGCTGTTCACACAGAACATTGACTGCCTGGAGCGCGAGGCTGGAGTCCCCGGCGATAAGATAATAGAGGCTCACGGCAGTTTTGCGACGTAAGTAGGCTTTCTTCTACATGCTGCAATCAATACTGATTCGAGACAGGCAATGCTGCATCGACTGCAAGAAGTCGTACCCAAAGGAGCGCATGAACGAAGCCATCCAGAACAAATCGGTGCCTCGCTGCGTCGATTCGTTATGTGACGGTCTCGTCAAGCCCGAAATCGTCTTCTTCGGAGAACAGTTGCCATCCGCATTCTTCGACAATCGAGGCCTCCCAGCACAAGCCGACCTTTGCATAGTCATGGGCACGTCGCTCAGCGTGGCCCCGTTCTCTTCGCTACCGCAACTGTGCGAAGACGAGACCCCGCGTCTACTCATAAACTCAGAGAGGGTCGGCGATATGGGAACACGGCCAGACGATGTTCTGCTGCTGGAGGATTGCGACAGTGGTGTGCGAAAGTTGGCAGAGGCATGCGGGTGGACAGACGAGCTGGAAGCGCTCTGGGCAACAACCGCGCCTGCGGAGGAAGCCGTAGCACCCAAGCAAGAAGTCAAGAAGAGCCACGACGAGTTGCTGGAAGACGAGGTCGACAAGCTCACGCGCGACGTGGAAGAGAGTTTGAGGTTGAACCAAGCGGAACACAAATGGCTGGAGAACCACGTCGATAACAAGCTAGCAAGGAAGCAGGAGGATGATAAGGACAAAGACGACTCTCCGACTGAGTTGCAGCCAACAGTCGATGCGGCGTCAAGGGCGAGTCCTAGCGAGACGAAAACGGACCCCGGCGGTGGGCTAGGACATGTGTTTCCGCACATGAACAAGCCTTCGCTATAGATGCTGCATAACATGCTTGGATATATGGATATAGATACACGATCTCACGATCATGAATGACGATAGCGTACTATGCGAGTCAACGGCGACCCGTTTTGGAAGTCGCGCACTGACACGGCTGCCTAATTCCCTTATATCCGAGTCTGCACCTTCAGTCTTCCTTCACGCCTATACCTCGCCCTCACTCTTTCTCGAAGAAATCAGGATGGCATCAATCACCGAGCTTCCTGCTGAACTACTCGATTTCATACTCGCCGATCTTGGTAGCCGCGCCATCATCAACCTAGCTCAAACATGCAAGGCCCTCCATGCGGTCGCCATACCGGCAGCGTACCACACCGTCACTCTCACGTGGGACAACACCTATTCAAAAGAAACCAGAGGACCGCAGCGCGGCATGCAAAGAAGAACCGAGAAAGCGCCTAAAATACAGTCTCTGATCTGCACGCTCACCAAGAAGCCCAAATACATCCAGCTGATTAAGAGATTGGAGTTCTGCGCCAAGGGATGTATTGAGTACGGCTACTTAGACGTTGCCGGAGATATCTTCCCAGACTTTGAGTATGATGCGAGTGGCAAAGAGTGGGAAAATGAGATCTTCAAGGCTCATGTAAAAGAGGAAGGGTTCCAGACGTGGGGCCATGGCTGGAGACAACAGGCGCAGCATATGTTGATCGCACTTCTCGTCGGTACATGTCAAGCGCATTTGGAATCCTTGACTATGGAGTGGGGATTCTTCTTGGGTAATCGGTGGTTTCCTGCAATGATGAAGTATGCCATCATGAAGAATGCTGCAGCGTCGGAAGCAGATGATGGACAACCAGTATGGTTCGCCAAGTTGAAAATTGTGTGCGTTACCTTGGAAGAGACGGAGGGGGCGGCCGCAACGTGGGAGCGTAGTTTCTGGAGCGAGCAAGAGACTCTACTTCACTTCTTCTATCTGCCGGCGATAGAGTCGCTCGACCTTATCACGTGCTCATTGAGAGAGGGCGACTATGATAACTATGGCGGACTATGGGACGAGGGAGATGGAGTGGACGGCTCGTTTGAATGGCCACTAGAGACACCTCCTCTATCGCAGACACTGACGACTCTCCGTCTTACCCCCTCTTCGATGGATCCTCTCACTATCCAGTACCTGCTTAGGCAGACGCCCAACGTCAAGGTCTTCTACTACGATTGCTGTTTGCATCCAGACCACCCACCTCTCCGTTTGTCGATCTTGAAGGATACACTACGGCATATTCGCGACACGCTTACCGATCTGACCGTGCGTTACAAGCACTATAATAACGATGGTAGCGATGACCTCCCAACCGACGCCGCGGAACCTGTAAGAGAAGGTCTAGGTCCACTACACGATTTCCCCGTTCTCACGACTTTGACTGCTTCATTCCCGGTGCTGTTTGGTATGAATAATACGCCAAACCTAGCGAAACATCTCCCTCCGACGCTCGAAACGTTGACAATCACGAATGACCTCTCCGCATATGAGGCACTCGAAATGCGCTTTGAAGATATCCAGGCCATGGCTATCTTCCGACAATACCTTGCGGGTCAAACACTAGCCTCAGGTGGGGTTATCTCTCACGAGGGTGACTCTTGCAAATGGGTACAAGATCGGGAGCCGGAGTGGAAGGCCGCGACACCGCGTCTAAGGAAATTGACATATGACGTGGGAACCCGGATGTTAACGTGGTACTGGCTTAGAGACGAGCCTAAAGAGCAGCTATTGGGATTGTGCAAGACGCAAGGCATCGAAGGCAATGTGATACCACCGTACGACACCCTAGGTCGACTCGTGCAGTCGGATTAATTCGTTACCGTATGGCATAAGATACTCTAGTAGTTTGTTTTCTGGCGATCATCTGTTCAAAAGATTAGCACACACATCCTACATCATCATGTTCTGGTCTTGTACCAAATTTCGAATGCTCCTCCATCAACACAAATAGCAAAACGTATACTCACAATTCGCACCCATAGCTTTCCTAAGCTTCATCGTCACAGCCTCTTCCTCCAAATCTTTCTTATCCCCTGTCTGGATCTCCACAGCATAGGTACGGATGACCTGCTTGACCTGACCACTCTGGAAGCTCATCTTGGCTTTGCGCATCACCTTTGTTTGGGGTCCTAGAAATGTCTCAGAACGTGGACATCGGGGTAAGGAGACATGACAGACCTTGCCAAACAACAAAAGCAAACTTGACGCGCTCGCTGTACTCGTCGTTTCCTAGCTTCATGCGCACGTAGGCGTATGCTGCTTCGTCGTCGCCAAGACTCTCCGTCATCTCGGCAATGTCGCCGCTTCCTGTGCCGGCGAGTTTGAGGTTATCTGAGGTTGCGGATGCATACTGGGGATGGTCAGCCGTCAGATTTCTCATAGTTGCTTACTTCACGCCTTCGATCTCGTCTCGGTGAACAAAACTGTTCGGGCGCATTATCGGATGTACCTTCAAGATGAGCCACGTGGTCTCGGATTTGTCAGAGCGCACGTCTTCGTATGCTTGCGCGATTTCAGGATCGCTGAGGATATCGGCTGCAGAAGGCATGATTGAAAAAAGTAATTGCTATCGCTGGATATTGGAGGGCGATAGCAGGGGTGGGACGACTCGGAAGGGGAGTTTTGAGGAAGTTGGGATGGGGATTCAGGGTTCAGCGATGCCGCCGCACTAGCTGGGGCTAGTGCGGGGCTAGGCCGTTGGAGGAGCCGAGCAGGGCCAATGGGGATGAAGAAGATGTGGGTCTAGAATCTCGAGTTCTGGCAGGCGCGACACCTCCTTTCTGCTCACATCTTCTGTCGATTGCGCATGTATGGCGGGTCTGATCTGGATCATTGTTGAGACAGGACCGCATTTTACTTTTGGGTAAATTCACGATACAGTCCGTTGACACTTCAACCGTTGTGTGAGACGAGTGTCCTCAACAGATTAAAAGAAGCGTGGAAGCAGATGCTGCCCACTCCCGTGCTAAAAGCAGTCTTGCTACTACGCCTCACAGTTTTCACCTGCATAATTCAGAGTCAATCTAAGACTAGGGAATTTGTAGTTCGATACAACTAATACTCTTATCTATGAGCTATCTACACCTGACACTACAGACCAAATCTATTGTCCGGACCTCGGGCCTTCGGTCTCAAGAGTGGCACCGGGGAAGTTGATGCCATAGTCGAACATACTCCTGCCCGCTGGCACGCCCTGGCATCCGCCGCCTAGGTCCTTAAGCGGCTGCAGCGCCGGCCCAAGACGACTATCAACAGCAGCCAAAGCAGCAGTCAGAGCAGCACCTCCAAGAAGCTTGCTCAAGAAAGACGGGGTATCCGCCTGCACGGCCTGCGCGATGAAGCAGCCCATCTTCTTGGGGTCGTTCAAGTCCTCTGCGAAGTTGATGAAGCCGCCAGTAATGTCACCCAGGTTGACGCCCGAGAAACTGTTTACGGCGCCCGTGTTGCCACCGACTTGGCAGTTCAACGGGTACGCGGCACATTGCTGTGCGGTCGAGACACCAATGTCTGCAAGCGTCCATGGGTCGAGCGGGTGGCGCTTGTACCAGTTGTCTGGGATACGCTCATAGCCGTACTTGTACGTCAACGCACCGCTGGCGTCGCGCTTGTAGCTGAAGAAGTCCATGAATACATCTTGCGTCAGGAATCCGCGGGGAGCTTCAGCGCTGTGGTTCGCAAGCAAATGGTACGCGAACATGTGTGCGCCAAAGGTGAATGCAACACCAGCGTACGCGGGACTGAAGTAGAATGGGTTGGTAGCGATGCTGTGCTTTTTGCGGTTGTTGGAGTGCTCAGCGAGGACTCGGGGCGTGATCAGACCTCCTGCACGCTGGTTGGAAAGGTCAAAGAGCTCTTGCATGTATTGCGGGTAGGAGCGGCAGTTGGAGTTCATCTCAGGTGCGAGCCAATCGCCACGGGTGATACTGGCATCGCCCTCACTTCTTAGATGGCCGTATGCGCAGATTCCTGTTTCGTTGCCAAGGAGGTCACCGACCAGTGGAGGAAGAGAACTGGTCTTGTCTGAATGGGGACCGATGCTCCAGCGGCCGGAGATGGGGTCGCCGTTGAAGAAGGCCGTTGCGGTCTCGAGGAAGATGGTGGCTGTCTTGTCGAGGCCGAAAGCTTGCCAGAGACCGGTGTTGATGCTTGCTGCATCGACGACACCGTCGCGCTGGATGTAGCCGTGGTTTGCGGCGGCGTTGAGGCCGGCACAAGGACCGCGGATATCTCCTTTGCCTGGGGCGCGCCACTCGTGCTCGCCAGATGTGTTGACGAGTTGGAGGGCAGGGTCGAATTGGTTGAAGAGGGCGTGGTTGGGTGTGCCTGGGTATTCTGGGAACTCGATAATTTGTGGCGTTGTTTGACGCTCTTGGATGCGCTTCTCAGCGACCATACGAGCTATCTCGGGGAAAGCCGAGACCAGCAGAGCTGGTCCGGTAAGGAGCACGAGAGATGTCTTCGCAAACATTGTGTAATGCAGTGATGGAGGGTGAGAAGATGCTGATGATAGTGAGCAGATCTCGTCTATCTTATATTTCTTTGCATCCACGGCTGCAGACTAGCGTAAGTTCCCCACTGTGGAGTTACGGGTCACTCCCAACGCTCCTCATAGCCGGTGTCTTCGGTCTCGAACGAATTCGAGTATCTTCTCATGGTTGATCCGCTAGTACATGGACTACTCTGTCAGTGTGCACCCAACAGTCGCGGTGGCGACCATAATCCATTATCCGGGGTAGTCGTAGAACCGTCCGAAGATAGTAATCGCCCACGTCGATCTGCAAGGCTCACATGGCTGGGGTATAGTCGCCAAGACTGGAGCTACGAGCGGCAATGCGCTATTGAAGGACAACGGATGCCATTCCGTGATCAGCAGTATAGTCAGACCCTGAGTTGGCTGCGAAAGAAGTCCAGGAATGACAGAGTGTCCTTCGAGACCCTCTTGTTTGCCTAGTCATGCCGATGTAGTAGTGAAAAGGCCTTAGACAAGGAGGTGCTGGGAATTTGCAGTGTTCTCTTGAGAGGCGACTGGGGATAGATCCAAGTTAGAGCAGCACCACGGCGAGTCATGACTGTTGCGGGGAGTGTAAGTGAAGTTGCGAAGATCCTCTAGTAGTCTCCTACAGCTTTCAATTTCTCTTGACGTGGATTACAGAAGTCTTCTTGACGCGAAATGAATTGGAGGATGCGTCATCCGATGGGAAACAATTCAGTTTCCTACATCGGGTAGTTCCCGCGCGGTGCAACCAGCGATGATGGATGCCATCCACGACATACCCCTAGCCAACTTCTTTTTTGTTATTACCGTCCGCTTGTCCGGAGCCTGGAGATGACTTTAGTTCTTCTTTTGATGAAAAAACATTGATTGTTGGCACGCCAAAAGTGGCACTTGGCGGACAGACCCGGTGGAACTCCGCAAACTGCCTGTCAAGATGTGAATAGGCTCCACGACGCAAGTCCGTTTGACCCACTGGCAACATGCGCTATAGACGGAAGGCACCGTGTGAATCTGATCAAAATGACGGAGCGGCGTGGCGTCCAGCGCAAGTGTAGAGATAAGCTCGACGAAATCGTTATTTAGCGCGACGCTAGCGGAAACTACCCCGGGTCTCGTTCATTCCGTGGTTCAGATCGACCATCAAATTGCCCGGCTGGTGCTTGGGAAGATCCACGACTGGCACTTCTGACATACGAGAACCATGCTATTGGCTAATAGTCCCAGCAACAGCGCCCTGCGCCGGCGACCCTTACATGGCATCGGCGTCTTCTCCAGATAATGAGTAATTAGTAATCTACCTAGGTAGTTTTCAGGGGAAAGTGTACCGGATAACCCTCAGTTGCCGAACAACTACCGAACAGGTCTCGCCAATCAGTGGTCTTGCTTACTGCTCACCAGTAGGCCATGAGTTCATCAGTGAGCTGTCTTACATCCACCACCCCATAACCAGTCCATTTGGGGAAGTTTGTCGCGTCGCAGTGCAGTCATTTTGGCATTCCCATACGACCGAGTTCCATAGGTAGAGAAGCACTTTTTCCAACGTCGTCTCTCCATAGGACGACGAACTTCGCAAGCTCCGGCAAGAACACGAGGCTCAAACTATGCGATGAGAAGGTCCGTCCACACCCATAGTCTGGGCAATTTGATGCGCAAGGTCTGCAAGTGCCGTCAGCCTCGCCACCATACAGGCCTCTTACTCTTCCAAGACTCAATCGTCACTACCCACGCATCTGTCACTAATCTCAAATACTACAAAGTGTAAACGGCACCAAGGCTTGGCACGATGTTCGGTCCCTAATAACAGTCACCTAAGGAGACAGTAGCACCAAGCGTTCGGCAGTGTGTGCAGTCTATCGCCGTTGCCTATACGTCCGTAAGACTCCCGAGGCTCTGAAGCCATCCCCGCATATCTTCTCAGTACCACTAGCCCAAGAGCCTCGGGAACTTCGCCGAATCTTCTCTTATGTTCACAGGACACGGAAAGGCTTTTCGTGATGCGAGCCTTTGGGAAAAGTTTTTGGACTTTACTCAGTGATATTATTTGGCAGCTTCCTGGTCTTGATATCCTCAATTTAGTGGTATCTGACGGGGAGATGGTTGACTAGCTAGGTGCTCATGTAGGTCCACCTGCATCAGTGATGAAGGGGGCTTGCTGCCCGTTCGTTGGGCAGCAAAGAACAAGCAGAAAGAGCGAGTGTGAAACGATCGGTGTAGACTCTCATCCTTTGATGCGCCACTTACAACTACTCTCGCTTGTTAAATGTGCTGGTCTTAGAACGCAGGCACTACGCGACTGAGTAAGATGGTAAATAATCGCGATGCAAATGTATTTCCCACACACTATTGTTGACATTATGTAGCAGTATATTGCTGCTTGCAACTACATAAACATTTTCATGCCCTGGCCTTCGTTTAATTTCATAGGTCGCACGGCTTCAGGATATTTACGGTCTGGGCCGCTCAGTGCAGCATGCAAAGTCACCCTTAAAATGATTCAACATGTCACCATGTTGACATACGTGGTTCTGAATTAGCAAACGGACAGGAGGTTTGTGTAAGGTCTTATGTTTGTTGTCCTCTGCGACTTTAAGATAAGATGACTCGTCACTGAGGAGATCTTGCCTATCGCCCCACCACCATGGCAGACATGACGGTACGAAACACTGCGAACCTGATCGCCAATATCAATAATGGTATCATGGTAGGCCAGAACTTCGGAAATATTAACCATGAGTCCGGATGCCATACCGATGAGCAGCGATTCGACAAGTGTACCAAAGCGCTCTGGGTAACAGACCCTGATGTTGACCGCGATTATGTCGAGAACACTAAGGGTAGCCCCGTTTCTGGCACATGCGATTGGCTTTGGCAAGACCAAACCTTCGCGGAGTGGCTGAACGGATCATCATCCAGGACACTATGGATTGCAGGTGGGCCTGGGAAGGGCAAAACAATGCTTTCGGTTTACATCACGGGCTTGCTCAAGGACCGATGCAATGTTCGCAATCGAGTCTTCGCATACTTCTTCTGCGACCATCGGGATACAAATCGCAATTCGGCATGTGCAATCCTCCGCACTCTAATACATCAAATCATCGAGCGAAAACGAGGTCTACACAGCAAGATCTTCCCTTACTTTCAGGAAGAGCGGCGAGCGAAGGCTACGATACAGTCGCGCGAAGCCCTTTGGCGAATCGTCACCGAGCTACTGCACGAGCAGGAACTTGGAGGTCTGGTGTATTTGATCGACGGGCTTGACGAGTGCGATGACGACACAGCTCGTTGGATGGCACGAAAGTTGTCCAGCCTTCATACCGACAGCTCCGGCAATGTTTTGAGAGACGTGAAGGTTTTAGTTGCGAGTCGGAATATCGCAAGCATGAAATTTTCGTCCAAAATCGACCTAGACACCATACAAGACCCGGGCTACAACGAGAGCATCACCCGATTCATCGATGCGCGAGTCGCTGATATGGCAAATCTGGTGCCCGGTTGCACACTAGCGCTACAGAGTCAAGTCAAAGAAAGCCTGCGGTCCCGTTCGGGCAACTCATTCCTTTGGATTGGTTGCGTAATGGGCGAACTGTCGGTCAAAGAGACGCCTACTGAGATCGAGAGTTCGCTAGCCGAGTTTCCTACTGGACTTGGCCCACTCTACAACAGAATTCTTCGCCAGGTACACCCAAACCCGCAGTATCGCTCAGATTGTATCAAGCTGCTGCATTGGGTAGCACAAGCGATGAGACCGATGAGCTTGGCTGAGCTAGCAGCGGTGCTGGTCATTCGTGGGTCAGAAACCATATCAGTGGAGCAGAGACTCAATGATCGTATCACATGGTGTAAGTCTTTGCTCATCATCAGACATTCCCCCGATACTACTCACAAGTCTACGGTCGACCTGGTTCATTACTCATTAAAAGAACACCTATTTCAGTCGAGCGGGGCGGATAACGCTGCCGACATTCAGCCGTTTTTCGGTCAGGCAGGTGAAGTACACTACCAAATCGCGCACACCTGCTTGGATTATCTCTACAATAATCTGTCCGATAAGAACCACTGGTTCTGTGATGATGGACCCGTGAATGCGCGTGTTCCTCTGACATCATACGCCACGGTTTACTGGCCAAACCATGCGAGGCTCCTTGAAAAAGACCTGGCTATGGATATATTGGACAGGAGAGACGGTACCTTCTTCAAAAAAGATGGCATGGCATATACCAGCTGGTGGTGTTCATTCCGAATGGCAATAAACGCCGCTGTGAAACGGGGAATGGCTGCCGTTTTCAGTGATCCCGATATAGCTTCCGACCTTAAGGAGCAGGAGACCATCCTTCCACTTCACCTTTCAGCAGCTCTGGGTATTCTGCCGTGGATGGAGCACTTTTCTACCATAACGCGTTCCAATGTGGTAAACCTCTTGGATCATCTAGGACAATCTCCACTAAATCACGCTACACTGAGAGGTCACAAAGACGCGATCATTTGGTTGTGTGATCAAGGTGCACCCATAGACGATAGATCAGTCTTTATCGCGGCAGCTAAAGGTCACATCTCTATCCTCAGATATTTCCTTGCTCATGGAGGCAACCCAAACGCCAGAGCAATCAATGTTCTGACTGGAGAATGCGAAAACGAAACAGCGCTCTGGGATACATGCAGTCAAGGTCTCGAAGACGTTGTGTATGTACTACTAGACGCTGGAGCTGACACAAATGCAATCAGTCCCCCATCAGACGTGTATGAGAGCTGGGAAGTTTCTACGCCTGCCTTCGTTGCAGCCTGTTTTGGAGGCAGCATGCAGCTTGTAGAGATCTTGTTATCCCAAACCATGAACCTGCATCTTTACCTGGACTATGGCTTGGAATCAGCGATTATGCGTGGCCATGAAGATGTGATTCGATTTCTCCTACCAAGAATCAGCAGGGTCGGTCATCAAAGCGAGCGAGAAATGAAGTTCCTGCTTCGTGCCGTGGTCTCTAACGTGTCTTCATCTGTCTTTGAGCTCTTATTGGATTCTTTCGGTTCGAGCGGGGACTTGGTGGTTCGCTTCGGCAGAACCGGTCCGTCCAGGAGAATGATTGAAGTGGCATTCCATTACAGGAACCACGAAACTCTGCAGATGCTGCTGAAGAGAGGCGCAACACCGACGAATAGCATGATTCTCACCGCTACCGAGACAGACGACGCAAGCCTTCTCGAGCTTTTCCTGCAACGAGATGTTGACATGAGCATGTCTTTCCATGTTGTGGCCAAACACGGTTCCCTTCAGGCTGAGAAATTGCTTATCGCAAAAGGAGTAGCGATCAATGGTACTAATGGACAAAAGAAGACACCACTCATCATTGCGGCTGAGAATGGCTTTGCAGAGCTTGTAGAGCTGCTTCTCAAAAACGGAGTCAGTCTCGAGACCAAGGATAAGGGGGACAAGAATACCCGCATGAGAGCTGAGGCAGGAGGCCATGCAGATGTGGTTCAGGTCATCGATGACTGGGCTCTCAAGATGAAGAAGTAACATATCGGCCGTGTAGCTTTCGATCAAAACAACGCAAATGTATGTTCTGATATGATTTCCTTCTTCTGAGCGTCTTACTTGAATGGGGAAGCCACCTACTAATAGTAAACATGTGATGATAATGCAGTTTGCTAGAACCATGTGATGGTCTGCGCTGAGATCTATAACTAGAAGCGTCACAACTTTGCCGTCCTGCGTTATCAATCCTCTTAGCACATCCCAAGATGGCAGAAGTGGCTGGACTTACACTTGGTGCTCTCGGCATTGCTGCACTCTTCAATAACGCTCTTGAATGCTTCCAGTACGTTCGTGTCGCCAAAGATTTTGGCCAAGACTTCGAGACACACCGAATCCGGCTTCATCTATCCGAGATCCGGTTATCTCATTGGGGTAGCGTGGTTGGGATTACAGACATGGACGCTGAAACACCTCTTCGTTGCTCTCCCGAGGAGCAAGAGGTCGCGCAACGGACGCTTAAGCAGATCATTAAGCTATTTCAGGTCACAGAGGAGAAGGCTAAAGGTTTGGAGAGAAGATCGTCAGAGCCTGAGCTTAGCGATCGTATGAGGAAGTTGTGTGATAAGATGAACAAGCTGGCTCTGGGGAGAACGAACAAAGCATCCAAGGCGAAGGACGGTCTGTACGCGAAGACGAAGTGGGCACTGTTCTCGCGTGAAGGATTCGTCAACCTAGTCGAGTCTATTACCAGCTTAGTCACCGATCTTGTATCCGCTTTCCCAGACGGCATCAGGGAGAAGAGGGAGCGATTGTGCGACGAGGACGCAGCGGAGCTCGTTGCGAATGAACCAGAACTCTCAACCTTGTTGAAGGACGCCTTGGGCAAGGATGACGAACAGATGCAGGGCGCGTTACAGAAGGCTGTTGCTGCGACGCATCAGAATACCGCTACGTTCTCTGGATCTGGTGAGAATAGAGGGCTGCAACTAGGTCAGAATTATGGTTCGATGACGAACACCTTTGGTAGTTAAGCCACACAGAGGGGAAGAACGATAGGAAATACCATGTCGTTTGTCAAATATTGCCATTTGACCACAGCTGGGTTGGTGTTGTCGTTGTGAAAGTCTCGAGCGCGTCAGGTGCGTTCTCTCCCGGCATGACGTCGCGTGCCATCGGAACTGAGCCCCACAACGTTCCGAGAAATTTTGGCTTTCACCAGTCATCACTCTAATGCCCACTCGCCATCCCCGCATACCAGATGTCAAACCCACGAAACATTCACTTCAACTCGTTCCAATACGTTCTTTGGTGCAAGTCGCTGCATCAGAGCCCCGCCGCGTTCCGATTACCACGCTGAGAAGATCGATTACCTTCTCCACACCCGCCGCATTCAAACTCTACGAGCCGATTACTGCGGCCGCCCGGACTACACGCGATAACTCTGTCGCAAATATGCCTGAGACTAGCGTTAGACGCGTAGATCCCCATAAACTGGGAAAAATCACGTTCAAGAAGTCGGAGGACTTGATCGATGAATGGGACATAGAATACGACGGTACAGAGGGCGAGGCTAATGCCGGAACACTGAAGCAAGCAGCGGAGGAGCTTGTGAATACAAACACCCCAGTCGCCTTTCCTACGGAGACTGTATACGGACTCGGCGCGGATGCGACAAGAAGCGCGGCGGTAAAGGAGATCTTCGCGAGTAAAGGACGACCAGCCGACAACCCTTTGATCGTCCATATACACTCTTTACCTCAGCTACGAGCGCTGCTTCTGGGCAAACTAGACGTGGTAGGAGACGGGAAGGATGCTGGAAAGGACCCCATACCGGATATCTACCGGCCGGTGATTGAGCGCTTCTGGCCTGGACCGCTTACCATCATCTTACCGGCTCCCGAGAATTCGATCCTCGCACCCGAAGTCACAGCAGGCCTTCCTACCTTCGGCGCACGAATGCCGCGTTCTATCATAGCCCTGTCCTTGTTACGGCTATGCGGTCGCCCACTCGCCGCACCATCCGCAAACGCGTCCACACGACCTTCGCCCACCGCTGCGGAACACGTTTACGACGACTTGAACGGCAAGCTAAATCTGATAATCGATGGCGGGCCATGCGAAGTGGGAGTTGAAAGCACAGTCATAGACGGACTATCGAGCCCACCTGCGATACTGCGACCGGGTGGCATTACTGTGGAACAATTACGGCAATGCCCAGGATGGGAGAACGTAGTGGTCGGATACAAGGATAAGCAAGCGGAAGACTCGAGCAAACCGCGCGCCCCTGGAATGAAGTACAGACACTATAGTCCGAAGGCGTCGGTCCTTCTATTTGAGGCAGGCGCGAACCAACCTACATCGGACGAGCTGAAGAGCAAGAGGCGCATTGGTGTCATTCGGACCAGGAGTTGGGACAAAGTGTTGGGTTTGGGCGCCGAGAAGGTGAAGACATCGGATGCGAATGGACCAGGAATTTGCGCTTCACCGGACACGGCCGCTTCTTTAGACGCCAACGACTCGCCGTCGCGCCTTTCGAACCTTCTGCGGTCTGTCACTCAGCACCAGATACCGCACGCCGACCACTACATTGTGAAGCCTGAGGCAGTCCAGGTTTGGGAGATCAACCTTGGTGCGAAGACCGAGGATGTTGCCAGAGGCCTATTTTCAGCACTAAGAGAGCTCGACAAGAAAGGCGTTGAGGTCATATATGTGGAGGGTATCGACGATAAGACTGGTGACGATATTGCCGCCGCGGTCATGAACCGACTCAGAAAAGCGGCAGAGATCAGGATATGAATGGAGGATGCACATGGCGCGCATTTCGACTGAATGGGAATACTTCCATTTACACAACCTTCACGTTCGCCTGCTGATTGCTGGATGCCAATTTTCGATCATACAACACAAATTTGACACGTCGATGGACAACTCAGTGATGCATTTGGCGAGTGTGGATGATAGTTGGCGATAAAACGACTCTTCCATACCTCTCCCTCCGCGACATGTACCGATCCTCCCAACGTTTTGCCAATATATTAGCGCCACTATCATGTCCACTAGCAATATGTATCTCGGCCTTATTGCGCTGCTCGTGAGCTGTGCTCTGGGAACTCCCCATGATGAGAACAACAGTCAAACATCTACGGCGACCGACCAGCTGCCCCCAACAGGCAGTTCTACCGAGCATGTTAAGGTTACCGTAACGACCACAACCACTCCACCTTACGTGCCACCTCGTGAGACTGGCAATTATACCTCCGGCTTCGCCACCCCTCCACCTCCAGGCTCAGTGACGGCACCGTCCGATGGACCTGACTACAGTAAACCCACTAGCACAGCGGTTACTCTGATATGCCCCCATCCCACCGAACCATGCATCATCGACGGTATTCCCATATGGCCTTCTGGTACCACCTCCCTTATCTTACCGTCTTTTACATATGATCCTTTGCCGACCTCCATGGCTTCTGGTTCTCTTCCAAGCGCGGACAGTACCATGGGGACTGACACATTTGCGACGTCTGCCAGCCCAACGAGTCCGATGGGGAAGAGTACTACTTGCTCCCACACTATGTCGCATATTGTACCTGGCAATTCCAGCTCTGATGTTCCTTGGACACCTGTCTTGCCTTGGATAACGCGCTGGGAAACCTTGAGCATGCCGTCAGGAAGCCTCCCTACTTTCTCGGTATTGAGCAGTGCCGCATCTGGAATACCAGCGACACCATTGGCAATACCGGTTATCTCTGGGTCAGAGACTTCCGAATTCTACTGGCCCACAAAGAGCAGCTTGGATCCCAGTAGCTCAGCCACTTCGTCTATCACGAGCATCAGTGCAGAATCAACAACACCGATCCCTCCACCTAACGTAAGTACTACGGCCTCGGCAGTAGCAATCCCTTCTACATTTTCTGCTATATCAGCTCACCCACGTTGCAAGGCTAAGTTCACACAGTCTTCCGATGCGAAAGCACCCGTGAAAGCCCGAGACACGGAAACAAAGGCGAGTAATATTAGCAGTTCTTCGGTCCTCACTCTGAAGACCAGGGACATAATCGACGCATCACTGTTCAGAAGTATGGATAACGCAACACCTCCTGCGCGACGAGACGAAGAGAGCAAGGCGACGAAAAGGCGGATAAATTACTGGACTCGGTTCTTCGCTGTTGCGGACCCTCTTGCACGTGTGATGGAACAATGCTTGGCATGTGATCAAGAGGGTGAGGTTACTTGCTTGTCTGGAGGAAAGTATACATGGTGCACGGATGGGTGTGCTGTGACACTGAAGATGGGCTGTGATATGGTTTGCAAAGAGGGGGTTATACGCAAAGAAGGGAATCATTGCGTACGATGAGGGTATTCGTAGATACAATTTTGTATTGTAACAACCATGTCCTTACTTCTTCGGAAGCAGCAAAAGTCTTGGACGTGTTTACATCCACATGTCTTTTCTACACAGTTGCGTGAAGGTTTGCCACCCATCGTCAAGCTTCCAGGGTCTTCACGCCGACGTTTCACCACGACAACATCAACCCGAAGAACCCAAGGACCAAAGTCAACCGACTTATCAGTGTGCGCAACGAACTGTTGCCACCAGCGTTTCGGAACTCACTGGCTTTCGGCGAACCGCTGTTTGTCTTGAAACACCTTATCATAGTGAACCACATGTTCGATTGCCATCTCGGAGGGACATGATGCGATCGGTCCCAGTCCTTGGAATTCCAAAGAGGCTAAGTTACCATACCGGTAAAGGTGCCTGACGATCGACACTGTACGTCACCTGCAGGGCAGTGCATCCTAGCCGACCAGCAACCTTGGTGCTTGGATGATCTGGGACTCGCAGTTTCACAACACTTCGGGGCTTACCACAGTACATCTGGATAGAGGCCCTGCATCACGGCTTGTCCATCTTGTAGGTTTGTGCCAAAGACCGTGTGCTCTGCGATCTACCGGCGTCACGTGCACACCTGGGCACTGTCAGAATCTGGACCGCGGATTCCAGGCCACCCACGCACCACGCCCGGGTCGTTGCTTCCGATGCCGAACCGTGCCCACGATCCAGAACTGTCGGAGGGAGTGGAGATCATTACGTGTACTCGCGACCTCGCGGCGAGCTATAATATCGCAAACCTCGCCCTTATTCCCAGCCCCAGGAATTGCAGAACGACAAACAATGGCAAACGTAGACACATGTCATGCCTAGCTGTTGGGAGATGAAGTTTGACACACCGGGCGCAGAGCGCATGCGTTAGGCTGCGCAAGCTCAGCAGCGCTTATGCAGGAACCTCCTTCCTATCGATAGGCTATATCGATAGCGCAGGGCTGGTTGACAGTCGCCTCGACTCGTATTGGATGCGTGTTAGTGTGCCAGCGAATGAATTGCCTCACCGTGGAGAATCGGTTCTCTTGTTGCTGGCACAAAATCGGGGAGGCAGATCTCGAGCGCAATGTCTTCAGGCGCATACGATGGGAGTTCTCGTTGCGATACCTAGTGTGACGTCGGTGGAAGCGTCACAGCTGCGTTATCTGTTCATCGGCAAGCAGAAGAAAACAAAGACGTTCGGAGCCCGATAGAGGGCGGGATATGTCGGTAATTATGACAAGGACCAGCCCGGCGGAGCGCTTTCGCGTGCGTACCACGTTGTCGTTGTGGTTGACGTGGGTGTAAGGTCACCGTTGATGCGACCCGACACCTTGTCCATGAACATCGGAAATAATCTTATCGTGACTTGTAATTCTGTCGACACTTTAGAATGCTGCGAACATAACAATCGCCTAAAGCTTGCTCTTTCTATAGTCTATAGAGATCACGTGCATAGAAGCTTATTAGATAAAAACATATCTTAGTAAACTTTGTCTCTAGCTACCTAGCCTTAATCTATACTTAAAAAGACTTAATTACTAGCATCTCTAGTTTTATCTTATAAAACTTTAAATATACTACTATAGCTAAGCTGCTGCTGCTACTATTACTAAGCTACTATGCCTTCTTTATTTACTAAAGTTATACTCTTTCTTATAAAGCTTATATCTTAAGAAGACCTAGGTCTTTATATTATAGAATAGCTTAATACCTTTATTCTATAGCTTTTGCTAATAAAATAGAGCTATATTTATTCTACTTACTAGAACTATATTAATAATGCTAAACTAGAGCCTTCTACTTATAAGTTTAATAACTAAAAGCGCCTATTTATCTATGCTTACGCTAATTATAAGCTTAAGATAGCTTGCTTTTACTAAGATAATATAGCAGTTATAAGGTAGAATAAGATTACTAGGTTAGAATAGGTAGATTAGCATAGCCTAGTCTTAGGGTTAGAATACTAGGTCTAAAAGCTAGAGCTCTACAAACTAGAAGTCTAGAAATTTAAGCTAAAGGCCCTGCAACTCTTTGCCACAAGTGGATAATAGAGGTGTGCTAAGCTGCGCTGAAGTGCATGAGGAAGGGGGCCGGCTGAGTACGAGGTCGCGCGCGGAGTGCCTGCCGTGCCACATCGGTTGGTATCTTTGCATCGGACCGCCTCAGTGTTGACTCGTCGATACGAGAAAGCCTCGTCAGCATCGCATACGCCCTCTCGGCACACCTCCAGTCCTGAGCCCCTTTGGGTCGCGAGCCCGAACACGGTTAACGCTCAACAAACAGGACGATGGTCGCCGGGATGAGAGCCTCGTCATCGCTCGATAGAACTGGTCAGACTCCCGCAGAGGCGATCCCACTTTCGGAAATGAGAGCGTCTGCGTCTAGAATACTCGATCAACCCGCGCGGTCTTTGCGCCCGGCCCCACCCCTTGGGATTCCGCGAGTACCAAGACGTGTGAAGGATCTGTGGTCCTGTCGCTATGTGGAGACCAACGCACACCATACAGCGAACGTCGATAACATTCACGTGGGCGACATGTCTGACAGGATGACTTTCACGTCTATCGATAGAGCAGCTTGCAGACGCAAAAAGCAGATCTGACACCGAAACCGACGCAAACGGTATACGGCCCCTGCGGGCATGCGTCGGTGAGCGGGTGTACCTGAATGTGGCGGCTACGTGAAACGCACGGCGCCATGCGGTAGCTAATCAAGACAGACCACGACCTTAGCGGCTCAGGCCTCTTCTGAGCTGTGAATGGCCAAGTAGGTTATTTCCACCTGAACCCCTGGCTTACCCGCTTGCGCAGAGCCTGAAGGTGTGAAAGGTTCTAGCCAGGCGCATGTGCGAAAGGATCGAGCGCCCGGATTCCCCGCGAAAAATATATCAAGTTGAAAATCACCCGCCCTCCCCGTTCTTTTTGTCACATCCTGATCCTCAGACTCACACCCAAACACGGTCGTTGCCTGTCCACTCCTTTGAGCATTTCTGCTCGGTACATTCTCTTGTCGCTCTCTGACTACCACGTTCATTGTTCGACTGTCCAACGATTTCGCGCTCAGGTTAGCCGCATCTGCTTTTACTCATCGATACCCTACAAGCAAAGCGTAACGCACATCCTTAACCTGCAATCTACACCGAACATCGACATGTCTGCCTCTGTCAAGTTTACCGGCCTTTTGGCCCTCGCCTCCGCTGTTGCGGCTGTTCCCCACTACCAGCACGAGAAATTCCACCACAGGGCTGCTTACCCTGTCAACGGATGGGGTAACTCAAACACCACTGCCATGGCTCAGGCTACCGGTACTGGTGCCTACCCTGGTGAACAGACTACCACTATCGACACCACTTCGACCTCGACCTACACTCAGTACGAGACCGTCTACCAGAAGCCTTCCGGTCTTGCTGGAGGCAACAAGCAGGTCGAGGCTGCCGATGCCTCGACTGGTGTCTGTGGCGCAACCGTCACTGTGACTGCTTCCGAGAAGGTCACTGTCACCGTCACTCCCGGAGGCGGTGCTGCTGTCCCCACCTCATCTGCCGCTGGCAATGGATACGGAGTCCCTTCTTCAGTCATGCCCGTCGCTGAGTCAAGCTCCACGGCCGCTGAGTACCCTGCCGCTCCTCCTGCCGACAAGCCCACTTCCTCCGCTGCTCAGAGCACCGTCGAGACTCCCGTAGCTGAGGCCACCACCTCTCCCGCTGCCGAGTACCCCGCCGCTCCTCCCGCTGCTTCGTCTTCCAAGGCTGAGTACCCTGCCGTTCCTGAGGCCCCCACCTCCAAGACCCCCGAGATCACCGCATCCGCTCCCCAGAAGCCCGTCGAGTCGGCCACCTCCGTCGCCTCTTCCGCTGCTCCTTCCCCCACTGCTGGCAACAACTACAGCGGCGTCAAGCGCGGTCTCGCCTACAACGAGGCCCACCTCTGCACCACCTTCGGCAGCAAGTTCGGCTTCGGTTACAACTGGGGACAGGTTGAGAGCAACGACATCGGCACCTCCTTTGTCCCCATGATGCACGGTCCTAGCAAGTCTTCCGCCGACGAGTGGCTCGCCAACGTCGACACGGCCGTCAAGAAGGGTTCCACCGCCGTCATGGGATTCAACGAGTGCGACCACACCTCGCAGTGCAACTTGAGCCCCGAAGCCGCCTGCTCCGCCTGGAAGGAATACATGAACCCCGTCAAGGCAGCCCACCCGGAGGTCACCATTGTCGGACCCTCCGTGACAAACGGCCCAGCGCCCATGGGTCTCGACTGGCTCAGCCGCTTCAACGACTGCTGCCCCGACGCCAAGGTCGACGCCACCAACATCCACTTCTACGACATCTACGACGAGCAGACCATCGACCGCTTCCAAGCCCAGGTCGAGAAGGCCGCCGACATGGGTGGCAAGAAGGTCTGGATCACCGAGTTCGGTCTCAACCCCGGCAGCGCCTCTGAGGAGCAGGCCGCCAGCTTCCTCAAGGACGCCATGGCGTACCTCGACGGCTCCGACAAGGTTCAGGGTTACTCCTGGTTCATGGTCGGTGACGGTGAGAACCAGCTTAACTCTGGCAGCGGCCTCTCGGCTGTTGGCAAGGTCTACGCTGGTGCCGCTTAAGCACCTAACTTCCTCTCTCCCCGCTTCTTTTTAAGTAAGACGGATGGGTTAGGCGTTTTTGTGTGTGGTTAAAAGACTTCTTCTCTGTTTGTTATGTGTGTATATTTTTGGGTATATCCTTGGGATCAGGCTTTGTTCTCTGGGGACTTCATGGGCATAGAACGAGCGTATGCGCACTCTGATGCAAAACGATCGCTTCAGCATATTGCTTTTGTGTTTAACTTCTAGTTACAGGTGTGTTTGAGGGGGTGTGGTGGATTGGTGTAGCGATATATGTGATGAATAGAAGACTGTCGATTTCAATTGCTGTCCCTTGCATTCTGTAACTTGCTGAAAGCTGACGCGGTGATGTTGGGTCGCAGAGAAGCATTCACTGACGTAAGCCCCAGTGCTGCTGTTGCCATATTGCTTCTTCTCTGTTCTACCCGACGAAGCACTGATGCATCAATCTTAATCTCACGTCTTGTTCTAATTACATAGAGATTATGCAGTCAGCTTGAGACCACCACAGCGATGTACACATGTGGAGTCTCGCAAGGCCAACCATGTCCTTCCTAACACGCGTATCCCCTCGTATCAACCGCAACGATACTTCCAGGCACCACAACACTCCCATTGACAGGCATCGCCAACCCCCCAGCAGTGCTCACGTATAGCACATCCCGATCACTGTCCGTTCTTCCAAACGCTGCCGCGGTGTCCCCTGCGAACGTCGCTGACCCCTTTGCACCTGCGACTACCTCCATCTTCTTCCCACCTGGACTTACAGCAATGACTGTGTTCTCGTAGTTACTCACAGCCCACAACGTGCCATCCGGCCCGAACGTGAAGTCATCGACAAAGTCGGCCACCGCAGTCAGATTGGCGTATAGTTCCACACCCCCTTTGGGGCTATGCGGTATGTACCCTCTTGAAGTGATGGGAACGCGGTATATGGCAATGAGATCCGAGTTACTGAAGTACACCCACCCATCACGGACCTTAAGACCATTTGCACCAAATCCCACGGTACCATTGTGCAGTTGTGGATACGGCTTGAGCTCTGGTCCATCGGCGATGATCTCGCTTGTCCCAGTTTTGGTATCGAAGCGGAAGAGGAGGCCATATTGAGAATCTACAATCATGACGATGGAGGGGTCGGAAGTCAGGGCAGCGGCGCCGTTAAGTAGTTTTGCTTGAGGTACATTTGCGATCTTGTGGACTGTGGGTATGGAGATGTTGGGCGAGACGAAGGTGGCTTGCCAAACGGACCAGGTACCGGCGTAGCCGGTTGAGTTGGTTGTAGCGTTTCCAGCGATGATGGCGTAGGTGTCGGGGGCTGTTTCTGTGATTCCGAGGAGATCAGTGACGTTGGTGGCACGAAATTCGTAGATGGGTTCTAGGGTTGCGTTTCCTAGTGATGGGTTCTTGATGGTGTAGAGTATGGGGACTGGAGCCAGTTGAGTGATCAGAAGATCACCATTTGGTCGGACGGCGATGTTTTCTAGCCAGGTTGGGACTGTTGAAAGCTGAGCTAATGTTCTGGCTGAAAGAGGAAGGGCAGGACCAGGGAGAGGTGAGGATAATGTGCCGAGACCTAGCAAGGCCAAAGATAGTAGGGTAGTTAGTTTTCCAATAGACATGGCGGTGTGCTCGAAGTTTAGACGGTTGTTGTCTCTTATCGTGTAGTTAACGAGATACACTGGCAATCTCTATTGCCATGTACATATATGTCCATGGAAAGCATTTGGATGCATGGTCATGATGAGCATCTCGTACCTAGTTAGTGATCATCTTGATGCCTTTAGTGATAGGTAAGTCAGCATGCTTTAACTGTGCATAGTTCATGTCCCTCTACTTTTGTAAATCGGCGTTGGACTAAAGACCTTACACATCGCCATGAAGCGTTATTCAGCACACGACTGCGCGTGATTGGACCCGTCTCGTGCAACGACTCCACTCGTCAACGCAGCCGGCCAAGTATTAGCCTGGGGTTAGTACTGTAGGATACCAGAAGTACATTTGCCGTGCGTTGCCGTTCGGAAAGATGCAGATAGGAGGTATCAAGAGGAAGGCGCGACTGAGAATATCCCATGACAAAGCCTTGGAAGCGTGCTTTGTCATCCCACGTGTGCTGTACCAAACCAGCCGTCATGACGCCATGCAGATTCTCTGGTGACTTCCGATTTGGCAGTGTCTCGTTAGCCATCCATGGATATTTCTTGCGACAGCAGCTGCCTGTATCGACCAATCTTGAATTCCGAATTATAGAAATGTATCCAGTGCCAATCGCCTATCGATAACGCTCCTTCGACTGGACTGCTTGTGCCTAACGATAACGATTTCCACAAGTACCGAATGTCCAGTTATTCTGCGCGTTCTCTTTAAACACCAATGGCAAGCACATGTTGCCTACGCCAATCTTACACAAGGTATAAAAGTACAGTAACGCCGTCCATACGCCTGCGATGGAGGTTGCTAGCCCGCCCTTATTGGTTCTCCTGCTTCGTTTGTTGTTGTTGCTGTGATTGATGCATGCCTTGCTGCATCGCATTCTGCCCCCAATTTTGCTGTAGGCCTGCACTATTCGGTGGTTGTGACGCATTCGAGTTCATCCGTTGCGGCCCGGGCGACTGCTTCATTTGAGGAGTTTGCCCCTTCCATCCTGGGAATAGCTCCTGCAGCTTGGTATATAGCTTGACGAGCTCGGCGGGTGAGGCGGGTATCGACATGATGGCGGGCCCCGGTTGTATTTGTTGTCCAGGCTTGGGCACCTTCTCCGCATTCTGCGCGAGGTACGCGAGGTTTGCCTGGAGGCGGCGCATGTAGCTGGGGCTGTTAGCTGATGTCGCGCAAGGGATGCGCATCACTTACTCTACGTACTCCTTGGATGGCTGCGGCTTGTCGCCTTCGGGCTTCCCTTCTGGCGTGGGCCCGACTTGGCCTGCCTTGCCCTGCGTCTGGAGCTCGCAGACTTCTTTGATGAGGATGCTGTTGATGTCGAGGAGGGTTGCGACGCGGTCTGCATTACGCGCCGGGTTGGCGGGCGACACTGGCGACGGGGGCACCTGCTTCACGGGCGTCTGGACCTGGGGCGGCTCCGCCTTGACGGGCAACTGGAGGTTCATGGGGGTCTGCTGGCCGTTGGTCTGCATGCTGCTGGGCGAGGGCTGTGGCTGCGGTGTCGCATAGGGTGCCTGGCCAGTGGTGCTGGCAGGGGAGGCCGTCTGGCGGTTCTGGGCAAACTGGTGGTGGGCAGGCGAGGGCATCGTCTGCGCATAGGGCGCGTTCGAGTAGGGGCTCGGCGACGACAGCTGGTGTTGCTGTTGTTGTTGCGCCTGCTGCTGCTGTTGCTGTTGTTGCGCCTGCTGCATGGCGGCTGCTCCATGGTGTCATGTCAGCCAGGCTGCGAGGAACGCGCCCACGGGCGGCGATAGGGCAGGACAAGAAACGCGCACGTCACTGGCTTACCTCGCTGCTGGAGATACGGGGCTCCTGGCTGAATGCCATTGCTCCCCATGGCGCCACCCATGCCCGGGAACGACGGGGACTGCCCGTACTGCCCATGTGGGTTGGCTTGCTGCTGGAGCCGCGCCTGTGCATCGAATTGGGCGTGTTGCGGGGAATTGGCGAACTGGCCGCCATACGCATTAGGGTTATTGAAATCCATTATCGGCACTCATTGGCCACGTCGCACAACTCGGTTTAGATTGATCGGTGGGTTGATCCGTTGATGGGAGAAAACGTGCGGTTCGTGATAAGCTTGGGTTTCGGCTCTAGAAGCTTTGCAACCCCAGCTCAGGCCAGCCGAGCGAGTCAAGTTGGCCGTCCTCGCCCTCTTTGTTCCAGCGCGGCCACTTCCCTCGAGCGCACCCAGCATCGTCAAAGGAACTCCAGAATACATCAAATCCCGCATGGCGCCCTACTGGACCAGCGTGCAAGCATGTCCTAATGCAGTGCCTTAAGCAACCTCACACCTCCAGCATCCCTGTCACATGGGCCCACAAAAATGCTTGACATATCTCCCGAACATGGGACGAGACGCTTCCAGATCCGTCACCAGGTACCACGGCCTGCCATTAATACCGGGTCTGAGGCTCTTATCCGCCAACTAGATGAACCGCCGCCACCTGCATATGCCATGTGACTGACTCTTGGGAAGACTCGGCCATGTTTGCATCGAGGGACTTCCGAAGCAGCACGCGCCCTCATCCTCCAGGACGGACGCACGCACTTGTTACCTGTTTCTCTCATGCACTTCTGAAAACGCCACGTTGTATTCAAGTTGAGCTTGGCAATCGAGTGTAACTACATCATAGGCTCCCATGCTGCCACTTCTAAGCGAGCTCTAGCTCATCACGCGGTGTGTGGATGGGTTTCTTAACCGGGATCTAACCTCTCAACGCTCCTTCGGTGTGTGTGATACATCCATGTGGCTGCATGACGTCGGAATGTGGGCGCCGATGAGTATAGTCCTTGTCTCAATAACAAAACGTGCTCAAGAGCTCCTTGGGATCTGCACCTCTCGGGCCGAAGTAGATGCAGAAATACAGTAGTAATAAGCACTTCGTAAGGCGGTGGCTCCCTGATTATTCTCCAAAGACCTCCTCCTTCGTTGGTTTCTCTTTGCGGCGCAGTGCCACAAAGTACGCCTCTTTAGATTCCTGGAGCCAGTCAGCGTGGAACATCCACTGTGCGGAAAAACCTACAGCGCGAGAGGATTCCGGCTTCTCCCTGTACACCTTGGCGAAGAGACGCTTCAGCTTTGTCTCGAATGCCTTTTCCTCCGATCCTTTGTAGTACTTGCAGAGGAAGTGGCCGCCAGTCTTGAGCGTATCGAAAGCGAATGTCAGGGCGGCCATGCACAAGTCCTACGAAGTTTAGTAAAATCAAGAGTGATCGGCGGACTACCCACCATGCTGCCGGCGTGGTCTCTGAAAGCATTTCCGCTGGTGTTCATCATCCTAAAATATGGGTCACTAAGGCTCTTCTTGTAGAAGCCGGCCGTTTGGTCCCAGGGTTCTGACATGTCGCTGAGCACCACGTCTACTGCTCTGCCCTGCTGCATATCCCTCTCCTTCAACGAGAGCCTAGTTGGAGCATCTTGTTCTCTGTCACTGGTCTCTGCTGGGCGCCCAATCGGCTCGAGTTCTGCGCCCTCCAGATGAGCATGTCGTTCGATGTCAATGTATCCTCGTTCCATGTCGTCCAGCTCTTCTTCGGTAAGTCCCTCGCTTGCTTTCGCAGAAACCTGTTTTCTGGGTCTGCCCAGGTCCGGATCTCGCACATAGGCTCGAACCTCGTCTTGGATTACAGGTGACAGGAAGTCGCCTTGTATGGTGGAGACACCTCGCGGGGGTTGTGCGGGTATCAAGTCAATACCTATGACACGACCCTCTGGAGCAGTACGATCTGCAGCAACCTGGAGACATTAAGATGTTGTAGTCTGTGTAGATGGATCTGGCGAACCTGGGACCATGATCCTGGTGCAAAACCCTGGGGACCTTTAGCATCGTGTTTCCAGTGAAGGCGACAAACATACGAGATCGACGACAGTCTGCCCGGGTTGGAAAAGCTTGTGCTTGGTGTTAAGCTGTGGCACGTTAGTCGGTGCGCAGCCACAGACCGAGGCGCAATTACTTCAAGCAGCTTGAATGCAGCGCGACTCTTCAAGCCTTGCACTTTGGCTTCTTTGGCGAAGAAGTCCCTGCCTTGGCGTGACTTCCATCTTGTTGAAGATGAGGATGCACGCCGATCTGAGAACCTGTGACTGGATTGGTGAGAGTCACGAGTCGCGTGTCTCAGGGCAAAACACGCTGGCGCTACTGGATGATGGGAAGACTCCAGGAGCAAGCTATCTGTGAGCTGCCGAAATATACGACGTGACAGCATAGGGAAGGTGCAACTGTTGTGCGTCGCCTTCGCCTTCGCAGAACTTATATACTCTTATCGATAACGTACGTCAACGATTTCGACATGTCACCCCAAGTCCAGGTCCTTCCCAAACACTCGCGATAGAAAGGACGATAGCTAGGAAAACTACATGTTGCAAGCGACGTTGACTTGACTTGAAGGACAATCACTGTGTTCGCGATAGCTCATCATCTTGGACTCGAGATGTGAGGTCATCTCCGAGATATTATCGTCTTCAACCTCGGAACGTCGAATCTACGATTACGATGTGTCAACGTCCACGGCCGACGGTTGTACCCCGCTGTTCTCCAGAATTTAGTGAGCACGCGATCTCAGTTGGGTGTGGGGTCGTGTGCTCATCGAACGGTACGTTTTGGATGCCTTCGCAGTATCTGGTGATGGAGAGCCCGGGCGGTACCATTCCGCATGTGACGACACCCATCCAAGACAGATACAGGCTATCAAGATCATGAGCAGCAGGGCTCTAAAACAGCATCCTATAGTGTTTCCAACAACGGCTGACGCAGAAGGAGTGACAGTGCACAGCTGACTGCGTCGTCTAGTAAGGGGTGACTGAGGCGCAACGCCAGTTTGCGTGCATCTGCCCTGGTGTTCCCCTGACGTGTTGCCATGATGCGCGTCGAATCATGGCGGCTCGCAGTCAGCCCCGTCAAGGGGCTGATGCCGGAGGGAGACGACAGGTGTCAACCAGAGCCAAGTATCAGATCGCGAGTACCCGGGCCGTCAGCGAGGACCGTGGTTGTTATAAGCATGGCTGATGGCATTCGTCGATTCGTGGCGCTAGACTAAAATTCGCTCCTTCCTCCCGCGGTATCCTCAAATCTCCGCTACCAGAGACGATCCAAACACGACAACCCTACCGAGGAGCGACGCCCATGACACACGCGCGACCACACCTACAAACACTCACTTGAAAGCTGCCTTGCATGGAAGATCGAATTCACCGCTCATCGACAAGTCCTGCTCACCTCGTACGGCCGGAAATCTGTCTTCACCTCCGCAACACCATTTTCCGATGACCTCGACACTACGTCGCGCGACCTTTTCTTTCCGTCGATAGAACTTGTCCCCGCTCGGACAACAATATCCTGCTTTTTAGAGCAACAGCGCCGCGTTTAGAGCAACGTCAAACAGCGTCATGTCGAAACCATCCGAGAAGCCGCAATCGCAACCGCCCGCCATCATGAGCGACGAACCGGGCAAGGGCATAAAAGTGAGTCAAGGTAACATTCCTAGTCGCAGGACATCAATTGACCCCTCATTGCAGCCCCTCGGCACGCCCGACATAACCAGCCTCCAGCGCGTCCGCCAGGTCTTTGCGCAGCCAGTTCTGGCTTCCTTCGTCGCCGGCGGCGTAGCTGGCGCGGTTTCACGAACCGTCGTATCGCCTCTCGAACGCCTCAAGATTCTATTCCAAGTCCAGAGCGTTGGTCGCGAGGAATACAAGATGTCCGTACCCAAGGCTCTGGCTAAGATGTGGAGGGAAGAGGGATGGAGAGGATTCATGGCCGGAAACGGTACCAACTGCATACGGATTGTACCATACTCGGCCGTACAGTTCAGCGCATACAACGTCTACAAGCGGGTACGTCTATTTTTCTTCTGTTCAGCGTGTTCTTGATTTCAGCGAGCGACTTGCTTTTCAAACATTGGGTTGGATGGGACAAGGTAAGGGCGGACGAAAGAGAGAGGGCGGTAAGTGGGGAAGGATCCGAAGCTTCGCCGATGGAAAGCTCAAAGTGAGCCTGGGGGAGATATTCAAGGACACGGAGGTTTCTGCAAAGACGACGACGGCCATGGTATGTCCCAAAGTTTCATAGCTAACTTGCCTTAGTTCTTCGAGAGCGAACCAGGTGCCCCTCTCGATGCCTATCAGCGACTGCTCTGTGGTGGTCTTGCTGGTATCACCTCCGTCACGTTCACCTACCCACTCGATATCGTCCGAACACGCCTATCCATCCAGTCCGCATCGTTCTCCGATCTCAAGAAGGAGGCTGGCCAGAAGCTGCCGGGCATGTGGGCACTGCTTACAACTATGTATAAGACCGAGGGCGGTTTCCCGGCGCTGTACCGTGGCATCCTTCCCACAGTGGCTGGTGTCGCACCGTATGTTGGCCTTAACTTCATGGTGTACGAGATCGCCCGTACCAAGTTTACACGCGAGGGTCAGAAAGACCCGGGTGCCATCGGCAAATTAGGAGCGGGTGCCGTCTCCGGTGCTGTTGCGCAGACCATCACATACCCATTCGATGTCCTGCGGCGGAGATTCCAGATCAACACCATGAGCGGTATGGGATACCAGTACGCAGGAATTGGTGACGCCATCAAGCAGATCATCAAGACAGAAGGCTTCCGGGGTCTGTACAAGGGTATTGTGCCCAACCTTCTCAAGGTCGCGCCTAGCATGGCTAGCAGTTGGCTCAGCTTCGAGATGACACGAGACCTGCTGATGGGCAAGGGGAGCTCGGGCTTCTTGTAGGACAGACAGTCCCACCTTCACCATGGTCGAAACGAACTACGACAGAAGAAATCGACAAGACACTTCACATTACGAGCGCTCTTCCGACGGGAAGAAAGATACACGAAACCGTTCACCGACAGCAGGTGGCATTGTATAACGTCAACGAAAGCGATTGATACAAAATACGAGCATTGCATTTGGGAAGGGTCACCACGGCCTGGGGGTCTAATTTGGAAACGTCCTCCCATGGATAACAGCGAAGGCGTTTGACTGGGTTTTTAGTCCTTGCAAGTTGCACAGCATTCACATGCAACTTTTCCTTCTTCCTCTTTCTCTAGAGCCGAAAAAGAACGAGCGGTCATGCATCATACATAGAAGCATATTCGAGTCTGCCAGGCGGACATGATTTGGCATGGCTTGTACAACATAGATAGTTTCATGGTGCCACTGGGAAACTGGGCATAATGGAACTGCTTTACATCAATCCTGGTTGTTGACGTGTACAAGAATGATTGTGTTTCGCCGAATCGACGCACGTCATTCCCTGTCCTCATATCACCCATGCGCGAAAAGAAACCCGTCATTCAACCGCTTCACCACGACGTCCATCACGTTCAGGACAAGTACTATTCTCCGTCAGCGCCAACCCCACACTTTCCCTTCTTCACTCCAAGGTCGATACTTACATGCCCTTGCACCCACGGCAAAAGTTCCACGAGTTCATACACTGCTCATGGCGGCAGAATTCCCAGTCCTTCTTTCCCTTCTGATATCGGCAAGTGAATAAGTGTTTCCGGGCATAGGAGAGGGGTTGGGGGATTACGCACGTTGTGACATGTGTTGAGCTTGTCGATGCATATAGTGCATGGTTTCTTGGCGGCTGTGGTGACGTCTGTCGGTATGGGGTCTTGGTCTGTGTTGGTGATGGAGCGGGAAGGGAGGTTTGATAGTGTTGTAGAGGAATCATGGGTGAGGGCTGTGATCGCGGTGACTAGGACGAGGAGGTAGGCTAGTATAGCGATGGGTTGGATGGAGAAGTGCATGATGTTGGGTTTGGTGATTGCTGGATTTCTGTTGAGATCGTGGAGTGATATAGTAATGGAGTGACCAAAACCGAAGCAGGATATGTAAATAGATCTTTAGTATTCTACATGGCTGGCAATCGTCATAAAAACTGAGCAGTGAGTCACTGGCCTACAAGTGTTTGGTTCCTGGATGTGAATTGCGCGTTGAAGTGATTAGCAAGGTGTCACATGTAAATCTTGCACACGCAAATAGTTGAACTAGTATGACATTTGAGATGGTCTACAGGGAGATCAACCCCAAGACCTTTACTCCGAATGCAAGGGAAAATGTTACAGTATTTACAAAGACCCTCTACAGCTCGCCGTCCTTCCGCAGAGTCTCGTTACCCCAGGGCTCGCTTGTCAAGCAAGTCAATCCAGCAGCCGGCTCGCAGCTCTTCCTTCCGCTCAATGGTCCTGGTGATGGCAGCTTGAAGCCGCCAGCCGCGTATTGGCGTCCCTGCTCGTTAGCAAGAGCCTCACCGGCACCGGCCTCTACATTCAGCGATCCCTTGCCAGATGCCAGACCCTTGCCTCCGGGCTGCGCACCAGTAGATTGTTCGGCGGCCTTGAGGGCCTTGAGCAGGTTGACTGTCGAGTCGTATGTGAGGTCCTCGTAGTAGTCGTCGTTGATCTGGACCATGGGCGCGTTCGCACATGCACCAAGGCATTCTACCTCAGAGAATGTGAAGAGGCCGTCTGCCGTGGTCTCGCCGTGGTGTACGCCCAATACGTCTTCGCAAGCCTTCATAACGGAGTCACTGTCGCAAAGCATGCATGGGGTCTTCATTCTGTTAGCTACTGCCCTCGATGCCAAACTTGGTGTCTACTCACAGTTGTGCAGACCTGGACGTGGAACTTGCCCACGGGGTCCCGGTTGTACATGGTGTAGAAAGTCGCAACCTCGTACACACGCATTGGTGGCATCTCCAGTATCCGCGCAACCTCGTTCATGACGCTGATGCTGCAGAATCCGTGCTGGCGTTGTCCGAGGTCGAGCAGCGGCATGACGGCGGCCTTCTTGTATTGGGAGGGGTATCGGGAGACGATCTCTTGGATGAGTTCCTCATTTTGTGGTGTAAATTTGAAGGGAATTTTGAGGTTGTTTTGAGGCGTGTCGCGGTGCTACAGGCGTATTAGCTCGGCTTCCAGCGCAAGATGAATTAAATACATACAACGTTGAGCGAGCCGCTCTCGTTCCATGACGGTCGCGAAACGCTGAAAGCCCGCCATTGAGCCCTCTGGAACTGTCGCGAGGCCCGTGGGGCAATCCTGCATGCGAGGGGGACGAGTCTTGAGGCCATGGTGGGTTGTGCTGCGGGCTGGAGGCGATGGCGTCGATTGAAGATGTCAACGATGAAGCTCATCCGAAGCGCCAAGTAAATGTGCAGGGGTCGTTGCAATCAGCCGCCTCTGATTGGCCACATCCAACATCTCCACTCCGTTGTACCTTCGACGCTTCCTCACTCCTTCTCCGCATAGTTCAGGTCATCCCAAGCATCGCTTCGTGTTGCGTGATCGATGGCATTACCTGATCGCCGTTCTCCCGTAGCTACATGGATCCACGACTTCGCTGCTTGAAACACATTACCGCCTTTGCTGCAGCGAGCCATGCCCAGTACAGTCGAGGCCGCCACGTAGCTATCCCCACCGACACCGTCCTCGTGCGTTTCGTCGCTGCTGCGCACTGCGGAAGCTTCATTTTTCTCTGGCATCCGCGGCAGTCTAGCCTGCGGATTCCTTTGTTGGCAACGTCCCGTATTAGTTTCTGCGCAAAAAATGGCTCGGTACAGAGCCGCATCGATGCTCGTGGAATGCGCCTACGGCGGTCAACCACGTCTGATGGAACTGTGGGTCTGCTAACACACACGCTGGGGGCACCTCGCGACATTGCATCCTTAGGAGTAGCAGTCGGTGGACTGAGAGACGCATAGGATTCTTCCCTCTGTGCCGTCGCAGGTGGAAAGATACCCTAGCCATTGTGTCTGGCCAATCGGCCGCTGTTCGCCTCATTGACGGCGCTCTGCGCGGACGCAGGCAAGCTTGCCGTTTGATGAGTTGTACTAATGTTTGCATTGTCAATTCGGTATCTTCACAGGCTTACAACACCGGCCGCTTCTTCCAGCCATGTTTCAGAGTCATATGATGCCACTACGTGTACGTGTACATCACTCATGCAGCACTTCACTAGTACAAGGGGGCGGTCAACATCTACGCCATATAAGTATCTACTGCTACTATCATAGCACTTCCTGGTCTTCTTCAACATCCCTTCGCTCTACCCCCACTACTACGCTGCCGACCTACACTCACGTTCGTCTCGTGGCTCACCCACTTATTCGCCCAGCATGTGCAAGTACACAATCACGATACTCGAATGCGGCCACAAGCTGGATGATCATGTCGTCACTCTCAACTGCCCCTACTACGATAGGACCAGAGTACCCTGTGACCGTGACAATGCGAGGACAAAAGATCGCTGCACCGTAAAAACCAGAGACCAAAACGGGATTTGCAATAGATGTCTCCGCGACAACGAAGAAGCCGCCATGCGCCGTGACTTGGAAAAAGAAAGAGAACACAAACGCCGAGAAAACGAAGAAGCCGCAGAAGCATTCCGACGTGGGCAGGAAGAACTTAAAGAGAAGAACCGCCGGGAGGCGGAAGAAAGACGACGGGCTCAGCAAAAAGCCGACGAAGAAGCCAGGGACAGAGCCCGCCGGGAAGCGGACAGAAAGCAGCGAGCTGATGAAGAGGCCAGGGAGAGAAGTCGCAGGGAAGCCGAAGAAAGACGCCGAGCGGATCAGAGGGCCGAAGAAGAAGCTACGGAGAAACGCCGCCGGGAAGAAGAACAACGACGTCGGGCGAAAGAAAAGGCCGACGAAGAAGCCATGGAGAAGCGCCGCCGGGAAGTGGAGCAAAGGCGACGGGACGAGGAGGAAGCTAGGGAGAGAGACCTCAGGGAGGCGGAAGAGAGGCGGCGGCAGGCCAAGAAAGAAGCCGATGAAGAAGCCATTGCGAGAAGGCGTAGGGAGCACGAGAGAAAGATGGCTGAAGATGAACAGGAAATGGAAAGAAAACGCAGAGAGCATGAGAAGAAGATGGCAGAGCATGATAAGAAGATGGCAGAAGACATTGAGCGACGCCGGCGGGAGCATGAGAAGAGATTGGCAGAAGAGGAAGCACAAGCAAAGGAGATCGAAAGGCAGAGAAAGGCGGAGCTCGACCGACTGGCCAAAGAACAACGGGATCTGGATTTGATGATTCAAAAGTCCAGAGAAGAAGCAGAACGGAAGAAGAGAGAAAAGGAGGAAGAGGAGCAGCGAGCTCTGAGGGAGTCTGAAAGATGGGAGCAAGAGAAGAGGTACCGAGAGGAACTAGTAAGTTCAAGTCTTGCACCACGTTCACAGCAGCAACTAACCTCACCCTCCCACAGCTCCGATCAAGAACCGCAGCACCACCCTCACCCCCCGCCACACCACCTGCGCCCCCAGCCCCAGCCCCAGCCCCAGCCCCCAAACACACCGTCAACAAATCAGCACCCCGACCCCCTCCAGCAC